CGGTGCTTCAGAGTAGACTCGCCCAGTATGGTGCTTCAGAGTAGACTCGCCCAGTATGGTGCTTCAGAGTAGACTCGCCCAGTATGGTGCTTCAGAGTAGACTCGCCCAGTATGGTGCTTCAGGGTAGACTCGCCCAGTACGGTGCTTCAGAGTAGACTCGCCCCCACGTATCAATGAGAAAATCAGGAGGATTCGAACCTGCTCTACTTGGTAGTTCCAATCTAGCTCTAGCGCCCTGCACCACCACACCACGACATGAGGTCAAAGCAGCGCCACCTGGGATTCCACTGAATAATAGGATTCATAAATTCTAGAGGATTCAGTGGAATCCCAGGTTGTTTTGCTTTGACCTCATGTCATGGTATGGTGTTCCAGGGCGCTGGCTCGGGAATACCAAGTGAGCAGATTCGAATCCTCCTCAGGGCTCCTACAGATTTTTCCTATTATAAATATATATATATATATTATATATATATATATATATATATATATATATATTATATATATATATATATATATATATATATATATATATATATATATATATATATATAATATATATATATATATAATTTGAATACCATTGTGCGTCAGGAGCCAGGTATGCACAAAATGTTTGAAATGTTGAAGTGAGGACATGTTTGGGCTCCCAAACTGCTGCCAAATTAATTTACATAAATTTGCATAACACGGACAAGGTGATAGGCGAAGTTTGCTGTGTTTCTGCAAAGGAATTATTTAGTAGTGAATTGTGCAACCTCTTGTTAAGTTGTGACGTGCTCGAGGCAGGAAGCTGTAGGCACGTGCGGGGGCAAGGGAAGGGAAGGGAAGGCAGATAGAGGGGGTGTGGGAGGGGAAGAAGAGGAGGTTCAGTAGAGAGGAAGGTGTACATCTCAAGAATGTTGTAGACACAACACAGACCATCCACTTCTCTTCTGTCTTGACGAGCATTCAAGTTTTTTCTGTTACCATACCTGATCAGCCAGGCTGTGACTCATACGTCAGGCTGCGAGCAGCCGCGTCTAACAGCCTGGTTGATCAGTCCAGCAACCAGGAGGCCTGGTCGACGACCGGGCCGCGGGGACGCTAAGCCCCGGAAGCACCTCAAGGTAACCTCAAGGTATACGGCCAACTCTGCCTAGACGTGTGGTCTTGGACCCAATACATTAAGATGAGAACCTGGACAGTCATCCCAAATTAGAGGTTAATGATCTGTGATCCACCTAAATTTGTGAGCTGGAAAGCGTTTCACACACACCTGCAGCGTCCAGACTATGAGTGATCCCACCATTACGATTTTCTACAGCAAATTAAGCTGCAGCATCTTGCATATACCTCATAACGAACACTCATTTAATCCTTATATTGTATATATTGGGAGTGGGACGGAGGTGGTGGGAGCCTTCCCGTCTCGCCTCTGGTGGAGTCCTGTGATGCCGTGGTGTATTCAAGGCCAACAGTTACTAACCAATGTTTCTCCGAAGCCAGTAGCCAGCCACTTGGGTGGAGCTGGACGGTAGAGCGACGGTCTCGCTTTCATGCAGGTCGACGTTCAATTCCCCGACCGTCCAAGTGGTTGGGCACCATTCCTTCCCCCGTCAGTAATATTCCCGGAATATTACTGCCCTCAGGTTGCTCACAGGCAGTCCAAGATGGTAATCGAATCCCTCTCTATGAGCAAATGTTTTGGCCAACTCATCAGTTCTATCATGCATTCGGAGTCTCCTCCTAGCGCGAATATAAACCAGCTTCCGCGAGCAGCATCCCATCTCCCTCGTCTGGACGTCTCGTCTGGACACGCGTCTCTCATCACCTCAAGATATTAATCCCAAACAGTTTTTCTGACGCTTTCTATACGCTTAATGAGGCGCGGAGCTCCTGGAGAATTCGTTGGGGCGCCTCGCAGACATTGTGATGCTTGACGTGCCTCTGGTTGCCAAGGGGTTACAATATGATTGGATGCGCTGCTTTGGGTATCCTGTCAGCGTGTTTACTCCCCCTTAAAGGTGCGTGAGAATGATGCTTCAGCCTCGTTAGATTTCCAGACTACGTCAGCGTTGGCTTCTTGGACCTTGCCCCCGCTCCCGTAAGGCTGCATCAGCATTGTATTGTCTTTTTTTTTGTTCTCGACCTTCGCCCGCTGCTCTTCCTGACAATAGGACTGGAGATCAGCGATAGAGGCAGCCACTCGTGATACGAAAGTGGTGTGGAATGATGCACTTACAAGCTGGAAGAGCGACTATGACACACATGGGTGGCAGCATCCTCTGAAGGTGAGGATGTTCAATAAGGAACCAGGTCATACGGGCGTCCAGGAAGGGGCCCCCAGATCGCGGGCGTCGAGCCTGGCCCCCAGGGCACGGGCGTCAAGTCTGGACTTCCAGGTCACGGGCGTCAAGCCTGGCCCCCAGGGCACGGGCGTCAAGCCTGGCCCCCAAATGATGGGCAGGTCGAAACAAAGAAAATAGTTCCACCAAGATTTCCTTTGGAAATAAGAGATAATTCATATAACTTGACGAAATATACAGAAAAATTCTGAATGCGAACCTGTAATAGAGCTAAATAATAGCCCTTATTTAGGTTAAAATGACTGTCAAATTGATTAATATTTCAAATAGCAAAAAAAAAAAAAAAAAAAAAATCAGGGCGACCCGTACAACAGTGACAACTGCTGCTTTGGTCCAGAGGTTTCCTGATTGGTTGGTTTCTAACCGCAGTGAAAGCTATTTGGCTGGCTGCCTTATTATCCCATAAGGGAACGGCTATAGTGTTAATTAATGTTTAGAGACGTGTTTTTTTTTTTTTGGGGGGGGGGGGGGTTGACTAAAATAGTCACTGGCTGTTGCCGACCTGTCAAGCTACTAACTAAAACAATCACCATTTTTTACCTTTCTTTTGGGTAAACTTCATGACACTTCTGGCATTACCATAATAATAATAATAATAATATAATATATATATATATATATATATATATATATATATATATATATATATATATGTGTGTGTGTGTGTGTGTGTGTGTATGTGTGTGTGTGTGTGTGTGTGTGTGTATATGTGTGTGTATATGTGTGTGTATATGTATATGTGTGTGTGTGTGTGTGCGTGTGTGTGTGTGTGTGTGTGTGTGTAGTAGAAGAATTAAAGCCCAGCATTACATGGCCTCAAAATTGGGGCCGAGTTTCCTGTGCCCCCGGGGGTGTCCCTAGAACCGAAACTGTAGTAAATACTTTAGCATGGATGGTCACCAAGATTACATATTCTCACTACACACGACCTTCACTGCGGGACTGAGGACACGAGCCCCTTTGTCACGGGGACTCGTAAACTGCTGGCGCAGTGGTAACACACTCGTCCCGACACTTCCCGAGCGACTTGGTCAGGGATCGAAGCTCGGTGAGGCGTAGAGGGACAAGGGCCCCCCACCTGATTGATTGGCCGCCCCTGTTCACCCAGCAATATTTGAGTTCCTGTTTGAGAACCGACTGGCGGGTCGTGTTCCAGGGGGAAACTATTAGGTAAGACTTAACATGAGCTACGGGAAGGTAGCCGGTCGGCCGAGCGGACAGCACGCTGGACTAGTGATCATATGGTCCTGGGTTCGATCCCAGGCGCTGGCGAGAAACAATGGGCAGAGTTTCTTTCACCCTATGCCACTGCTTTCGCTTTGATGTGAATGGACATCAAAGCGAAAGCAGTGGCATAGGGTGAAAGAAACTCTGCCCATTGTTTCTCGCCAGCGCCTGGGATCGAACCCAGGACCATAGGATCCTATGCCACTGTTACCTAGCAGTAAAATAGGTACCTGGGTGTTAGTCAGCAGTCACGGGCTGCTTCCTGGGGGTGGAGGCCTGGTCGAGGACCGGGCCGCGGGGACACTAAAAAGCCCCGAAATCATCTCAAGATAACCTCAAGATAAGGTAAAGCTCTGGGCCTGCTAACAGGAGTCAGCAACCGTCTTCCCTTTGTACTCGCTTGTGTAAAACAAAGACTTCCTGGTTTTGTTGATTTGCAGAAACAACCTTTGACCTTGGGTTCGCTGTCTTAAGTCGCGAAATAGCCACCGACCAGAGCAGGCTGGCTAGTTAACCCCTGACGGAATTTAGGAACCAATTGACAACATAGAAAACGACACTCGTCCGTAGCACTAATATAAAAGATGCATACATAGGAAGGAATGCGGCTATAAAGAACGTGTGATGCTTGTGGACTCCACTACGGGCTCACCATAGCCCGTGCTACTTGCCCCGCTCCTGTGCCAGGTAAGTTACGGGCTCACCATAGCCCGTGCTACTTGCCCCGCTCCTGTGCCAGGTAAGTTACGGGCTCACCATAGCCCGTGCTACTTGGAACTTGTTCGGAGTAGCTTAATCTATAACAACAACAACAACATTGTGGACTCAGTATAGGCAATTTACTGCTAGATGAAGAAAAGCACGAGGTGAAAACAAAAATGCCCAAAGTCTTGCCCTACCCGGGAGTAGAACCCTAGATAAATCTGTTGTTAGCGGCCTGTGCTAATCACTATGCTTCTTTGAATTTATCCCAGAAGCATTTATCCCATCCCTCCCCAAGGAATACCCGACCAGGAGGCCTGGTCGACGACCGGGCCGCGGGGACGCTAAGCCCCGGAAGCACCTCAAGGTAACCTCAAGGTAAGCATGGAAGATCAATAACGGTGTACAATTTCAGAACATTAACCGAGCAATAACAATGGGGGATATTTCTTGAAGAAATAAATAACAACATTCATAATGCCCTCGGGAAGTTACAATTCAATAAGTAACTGAGAGTATATACATATTTACTTGAAATATTTCACTTAACTCACGTGTGTTTAGTGCAGTGTTAACTGGCGGGTAATGTATAACCTTTACCTTCACCTCATCAAGACATTTAACATTGAACCAAAGGTTAATTAGAGTCGTTTAATTAAACGCACAAGACGTAGAGAATCAACACCAGCGGCACGTTAGTGATTGGGCGGATTTTCCTGCATATGCATTGTGATACTCGCTTTCCCCAAGGGATACCCACGCTCCCCAAGGGATATCCACGCTCCCCCAAGGGATACCCACGCTCCCCCAAGGGATACCCACGCTCCCCCAAGGGATACCCACGCTCCCCCAAGGGATACCCACGCTCCCCAAGGGATACCCACGCTCCCCAAGGGATACCCACGCTCCCCCAAGGGATACCCACGCTCCCCAAGGGATACCCACGCTCCCCAAGGGATACCCACGCTCCCCCAAGGGATACCCACGCTCCCCAAGGGATACCCACGCTCCCCAAGGGATACCAACGCTCCCCAAGCGATACCCACGCTCCCCAAGGGATACCCACGCTCCCCAAGCGATACCCACGTTCCCCAAGGGATACCCACGCTCCCCAAGGGATACCCACGCTCCCCAAGGGATACCCACGCTCCCCCAAGGGATACCGACGCTCCCCAAGGGATACCCACGCTCCCCAAGGGATACCGACGCTCCCCAAGGGATACCCACGTTCCCCAAGGGATACCCACGCTCCCCCACGGGATACCCACGCTCCCCAAGGGATACCCACGCTCCCCAAGGGATACCCACGCTCCCCAAGGGATACCCACGCTCCCCAAGGGATACCCACGCTCCCCCAAGGGATACCCACGCTCCCCAAGGGATACCCACGCTCCCCAAGGGATACCCACGCTCCCCAAGGGATACCCACGCTCCCCAAGGGATACCCACGCTCCCCAAGGAATACCCACGCTCCCCAAGGGATACCCACGCTCCCCAAGGGATACCCACGCTCCCCAAGCGATACCCACGTTCCCCAAGGGATACCCACGCTCCCCAAGGGGTACCCACGCTCCCCAAGGGATACCCACGCTCCCCCAAGGGATACCCACGCTCCCCAAGGGATACCCACGCTCCTCAAGGGATACCGACGCTCCCCAAGGGATACCCACGTTCCCAAGGGATACCACGCTCCCCCAAGGGATACCCACGCTCCCAAGGGATACCCACGCTCCCCAAGGGATACCCACGCTCCCCAAGGGATACCCACGCTCCCCAAGGGATACCGACGCTCCCCAAGGGATACCGACGCTCCCCAAGCGATACCCACGTTCCCCAAGGGATACCCACGCTCCCCCAAGGGATACCCACGCTCCCCAAGGGATACCCACGCTCCCCAAGGGATACCCACGCTCCCCAAGGGATACCCACGCTCCCCAAGGGATACCCACGCTCCCCAAGGGATACCCACGCTCCCCGAGAGCCTTACTTTGCGCAAGTGCACTCTCACTCGCCTGATGCCTTATTATTTAAGCCAAGACAACGCAGAATGGAGATGAAGTCTTGAAAAAATGAGATAATCCCCAGCATCCTTTCTCCCAAGGAGAGAGTTAGAGTCTCACGAGGGCCATTGGACGAGAAGAAGGAAAGAAAACTATCAGGGGGAAAGCGCCAAGCCATTTGGCTCAGTACGCTTACGTGTAAAGAAACGCTAACACGCATTTCGCCTTGCCCAGGAATCGAACCCGGGAACAATTTGGCTGTGATATGATTGGGCTATAGAATACCGGGTATTAATGGCTAGGATGTGAAAGCTAGAGCGTAAAGACAAGGGGAAGGGGGGGGGGGGGGGCAGGATAATCACTAGAACACCCTCGGCCAAATTGGCAAAAGGAGGCAGGGGCAGGTAGCTGGATCTTCCAGTAATGGCGGTCCCGGTCACTCCTTCATAATAGGTCACGGGCACCAAGCGGACGCCTTGCAGGACGCCGGACACGGGCACCAAGCGGACGCCTTGCAGGACGCCGGACACGGGCACCAAGCGGACGCCTTGTAGGACGCCGGACACGGGCACCAAGCGGACGCTTTGCAGGACGCCGGACACGGGCACCAAGCAGACGCCTTGCAGGACGCCGGACACGCCCCGCTGAAGTAAACCCAAATGAAGAGTCGTCGTTTGGGGCGTGCAGACGGCCTTGGTTGGGAGAAAGTTGTGACTGGGAGAGCGGCCAACCCAGAGTAACTCCCCGGTGTCTAAAATACATATCAAGGGAGGCAAGGAGACTGAAAAAATTTGTAAATTTCAAATAGCTTCAATATTAATACATTTAATAGCCTATTCTTTTTTGTCCAATACTGAAACTACTAAAGATTTTATGTACGTGAGCAGAGTAGATGTAGTTTTGTAGTAGATGTGCGCCAGTGTGTCGAGACTGTCCGGATGCTTCTCATCCACAACTAAAGCGATTTAGTTCAAATTTCTCAAACTGAAATCTACTTTTAATGTTTTTTTTCCCATATAGGAACCTAAGGCACAACGAGCGCTCAGCGAAATCACAAATAACATTTGTGGTCGAGGTACTTTTTAGCAAATCATGCTCCTGTCGGTGTGACTGCCGAGTTCAGTGGCGCGGGTTCGAGCCCATCGTAAAGATTTAATATTTTCTCAAATGAGGAGTGTGTAGGTCAGTTGGTCCACGCTAGGCCGGTCCTGTTCCAGCACCACCAAGTACAAAGGTTTGGAACATGATTAGTGCCAGAGCTAAGAGGGTTAAGCTACGAGGATAAGCTAGTGGAACTAAATCTCACAACCCTAGAGAAGGAATATGATCCCAATATACAAGATAATGAGGATTAGATAAAGCGGACAAGGATAGCGTCTTCAAATTAAGAGAAAGCAGGACAAGAGGACACAGGCCGAATCTGGAAACAGAAATGAGTCGATGGAATGTAAAGAAATACTCGAACGTCATCACACACAGAGATCACACTAACGTGATGCATCAAATGAACAACCCTGTCGTAGCTCAGTCGATTAAGGCAGTGTCTGGGATGCTCCAGGACGCAGGTTCGAATCCTCGTCACGGCCCTTGTGGATTTGTTAAATACTCGAACCCTGTACGGGTGATCAACAAGTGGAATGCTCAAAAAGAAGACGTCCTGGAAGCCACCTTCTTCCACAAGTTTAGGGACAGTTTCGACAAAGAAACTTATTGTCAAAATAGTTCAATTGTAACGCAAGAGGCACAACCAGACGCCTTGTAGGACACCAAAGGCTAGACCTTACCACCCCGCACAGTCACATCCCCGCTCCCGAGCCAGGTATGGCCACCACGGGCTCACCATAGCCCATGCTACTTCCTGTGTCAGGTTAATCCACTACGGGCTCACCACAGCCCGTGCTACTTGCCCCGCTCCTGTGCCAGGTAAATCCACCACGGGTTCACCACAGCCCGTGCTACTTGCCCCGCTCCTATGCCAGGTAGGTCCACCACGGGCTCACCACAGCTCGTGCAACTTGCCCCGCTCCTGTGCCAGGTAAATCCACCACGGGCTCACCATAGCCCGTGCTACTTACAACTCTTCGTACCGAGTAGCCGAATCTTAAACAACAACAACGACCCTATAGACACAGAGAGGAAAGCTCACTCGAGCGTGTACTGACTCGTCCCATGAGGTGACCTGTCATCCTCCAGTGAGGATGCTTCTGTGACGGTACTTGGTCAACCCGTCCTCCTAGTAGAACGTCGAATTTAGACGTATACTCGACCTAAGGCCAAAAAAAATTGTCGTACTAGAAAATAGTTGCGGCTCGCGAAATTGACACACTGTTCCGTTTTTTCTTTCGGGTCATCTGATAGGTTAAGAGAAGGGACTTTAGTACAACAGTTTCTTGACGTTGGATAACCTTAGGAGGACTGGCTGGGTAGCCTGTTACACAGATCTGCGGCACTGTTTACAAATCACTTTACCTATTTATTTTCTAAATCTAAACTTATTTTGTTTGAATCTATTATTTTGTGTTTTAGCTTGGGCTGATGTGTTTAAAATCTACCGTGTTAAAACTATTTAAATCCCTATTATTAAAATCCCATATAAATCCCACTCATTATAACCCCTTTTAAAATTCCAATTATGAAAACCCTATTTAACCCCCCCCCCTTATTAAGCCCTTTCGTCCATGTGTGTGCACTTCAATTTAAATGTCCCTTCTTGAGGCTTAAAATTCATGTAGCACTTCACCCTAATAACTTCACACCATCTTTATTTTGAGTTTATTTGTTATATTTAAGTTAATTCGCGAGGTCGATTCCTAATGTCCGTGAATAACCAGGTGACAATTCTCGACATATTATCGAGAGAATTAACACATATGATGAGGCACAGTGCTCAGAACTGCTCAGTACGATACAAGAGGGTTCTCACAGGGCAAGATTGAGCTGAAGGGTATTAAACTATATTACAAACACTTGTATATTTAAAGTCTATATAGCGCCTTAATGTCTAGTTTGAAATGTTTTATGTTCTGTTTCGCTGGCTTTAGAACCATATTAATCATGACTCTTGGAATATTTTTCTCAAATTAATTTCAAAATTGTTGAGCTGGTGTGTGGTACATATGTGTTTTCCTGTTCCTAAGCTGCGGACCGTACACAAGTCAGCGTGGAGCAGCCTGTGCTAATTTTCAGTCTATTGTAAAAATCTATTTTGACTTTCCTGTAATTAGTATTTAATACTCGCCTTGTTTTAGTGTCATCCTAAAATATGACCATGTTCCTGCTCACTCCAGTGTCTTAATACGTCATGTCTCTGATGAACAGTAACGGTTCCATGACAGCGCAGATGCACCTCTCTTGAAGGCGATGAGTCACAATAACGTAGCTAAAGTATGTTGACCAGACCACACACTAGAAGGTGAAGGGACGACGACGATGTTTCGGTCCGTCCTGGACCATTCTCAAGTCGATTGAGAATGGTCCAGGACGGACCGAAACGTCGTCGTCCCTTCACCTTCTAGTGTGTGGTCTGGTCAACCTCTCTTGAAACTGTTCTCCAACTTTACACTATTCATGCCGACCTGTTTCCTGTGCAGTAACCATGCCCAGTGTAATAGATTCTATCTATTACTACACTCCTCTTCCCTTCCTTATGAAGCCATCTCTTGCACGGTACAATATCCAAGACCTTACTGGAGTTGTTTGTCAACACAAACAATTAGTTTGAAGAAGAATGCTTGACTAACCGATCCATTGTATAAGCCACTGACCCACGTGGGATATGCCAGCTTATTTATGCCTCTCGCGGGATGACGAGCTCAGGAGCCGAAGCTCAACCCGCGTCAAGAACAACGAGGCGAGTACTGGGGGGTAAAGACTTGTCAGCGGTTGTTATGGGTTGTTATCGCGGGTAGTTAGTTCTCAAGTACCACAGTGATCTATCTGCCTCTCTGGTGTCCGAATTTCTTTCCGCATTAAAATTGCGGAATTTTGCGGGAAAAAAAATTGGATGGCTAACTGTGACATTATTACTGGATGCGTCTAAAATATTCCATGCACACTCTGTGGTGAGGGACTGTCGTCGACACCAACCACAATATTCTCTATCATCTCGTGCCAGGCATTTGCCATTTATCCGAATTCTATCACGAGTTGTTTAGTTCACAGAAGATACCCAAGAGAGAGAGAGAGACACATACACACACCTGACAGGCGCGACACGACAGGTGTGTGTGTGTATGTGTGTGTGTGTATGTGTGTGTGTAGACGGGACAAGGCCTCTACCGTCTCCACACTACCCTGGGACAGTTGGGGGTTGACTGCTTGCAGTGCGTGCCTGTGTGTGTGTGTGTGTGTGTGTGTGTGTGTGTGTGTGTGTGTGTGTGTGTGTGTGTGTGTGTGTGTGTGTGTGTGTGTGTGTGTAATCACTGCTCGACACATCTGTGCAAGCTACAGTGATATAATCTACGTCATTCGGCGAGATCTCGTCGCATCAAGAATGCGGCGCTTACCGCCACACTTGACGGGGTTTGAATTGAAATAAGTTTATTGAAGGTGTAACATGCGCACAAAAGGATGAGGCAGCTCAAGTTATTCTCACCCCGTTCACTACGTGTTCATTCGGGTTGATACAAGCGAGATGAGATCTAAAAAGGGGGGGGGGGGGAAGAGGAGGTTGTTAACATGGAATAGCAACTCAGATAGTTAGGATGCCTTCAAACGACACTAGAAACTACGTAATCATTGCGGAGATCATTATGCAGTATGCCAGGATGTCTTAAAAAAAAATGTTCACGAAAGAATGAACATTCTAGAGCTGTTCACTTGAGACAGTTAAGCAAGTCCCAGCTGTGTCTGGGTACAAGTGACAGGATGAACAACCCAGCGGGTTTTCTTCCTATTGGGGAGTGTTGTACATGCTGCTATGGCGGTGTGTCCACTCACAAGATGAGTGGCGCTGCCCAATACTGTCACTATGGCGGTGTGTCCACTCACAAGATGAGTGGCGCTGCCCAATACTGTCACTATGGCGGTGTGTCCACTCACAAGATGAGTGGCGCTGCCCAATACTGTCACTATGGCGGTGTGTCCACTCACAAGATGAGTGGCGCTGCCCAATACTGTCACTATGGCGGTGTGTCCACTCACAAGATGAGTGGCGCTGCCCAATACTGTCACTATGGCGGTGTGTTCACTCACAAGATGAGTGGCGCTGCCCAATACTGTCACTATGGCGGTGTGTTCACTCACAGGATGAGTGACGCTGCCCAATACTGTCACTATGGCGGTGTGTCCACTCACAAGATGAGTGGCGCTGCCCAATACTGTCACTATGGCGGTGTGTTCACTCACAAGATGAGTGGCGCTGCCCAATACTGTCACTATGGCGGTGTGTTCACTCACAGGATGAGTGGCGCTGCCCAATACTGTCACTATGGCGGTGTGTCCACTCACAATACTGTCACTATGGCGGTGTGTCCACTCACAAGATGAGTGGCGCTGCCCAATACTGTCACTATGGCGGTGTGTCCACTCACAAGATGAGTGGCGCTGCCCAATACTGTCACTATGGCGGTGTGTCCACTCACAAGATGAGTGGCGCTGCCCAATACTGTCACTATGGCGGTGTGTCCACTCACAAGATGAGTGGCGCTGCCCAATACTGTCACTATGGCGGTGTGTCCACTCACAAGATGAGTGGCGCTGCCCAATACTGTCACTATGGCGGTGTGTCCACTCACAAGATGAGTGGCGCTGCCCAATACTGTCACTATGGCGGTGTGTCCACTCACAAGATGAGTGGCGCTGCCCAATACTGTCACTATGGCGGTGTGTCCACTCACAAGATGAGTGGCGCTGCCCAATACTGTCACTATGGCGGTGTGTTCACTCACAGGATGAGTGGCGCTGCCCAATACTGTCACTATGGCGGTGTGTCCACTCACAGGATGAGTGGCGCTGCCCAATACTGTCACTATGGCGGTGTGTCCACTCACAAGATGAGTGGCGCTGCCCAATACTGTCACTATGGCGGTGTGTCCACTCACAAGATGAGTGGCGCTGCCCAATACTGTCACTATGGCGGTGTGTCCACTCACAAGATGAGTGGCGCTGCCCAATACTGTCACTATGGCGGTGTGTTCACTCACAGGATGAGTGGCGCTGCCCAATACTGTCACTATGGCGGTGTGTCCACTCACAGGATGAGTGGCGCTGCCCAATACTGTCACTATGGCGGTGTGTCCACTCACAAGATGAGTGGCGCTGCCCAATACTGTCACTATGGCGGTGTGTCCACTCACAGGATGAGTGACGCTGCCCAATACTGTCACTATGGCGGTGTGTCCACTCACAAGATGAGTGGCGCTGCCCAATACTGTCACTATGGCGGTGTGTCCACTCACAAGATGAGTGGCGCTGCCCAATACTGTCACTATGGCGGTGTGTCCACTCACAAGATGAGTGGCGCTGCCCAATACTGTCACTATGGCGGTGTGTCCACTCACAAGATGAGTGGCGCTGCCCAATACTGTCACTATGGCGGTGTGTCCACTCACAAGATGAGTGGCGCTGCCCAATACTGTCACTATGGCGGTGTGTCC